CGTCAGTAGGGAAGCGAGTCGTGATCAATCACAAAGGGATCAACAATGACGTGGGACAAAGAGGTCGGAGACAACTCGGCCCAGATATCTCTTTGTTCATATGATTGAAAAGCCATGTAATAGGCAGGATTCAACTCAACCTCATCCGATTCTCGCTCATGTCTAGACGTTTGAAAAGCAACCAGAGCATTCGGCAACCGTACGTTTCTTGTCATCTTCGAGGCAACGACTTCTTCTCATGCATCCTTGTAGCTCGGCCTCCCCCCGTAACGCTCGTGGTGTTCAATCAGGCCGTGAGACCACTCAAGTCGGCCATGACAGCCTTCAAGCTTGCCCTGCTGTGGAAAGTCAAGCCGACTCGGTCTTGGTCAGCGGGTATCGGGTTCCAGACATTGAGAACCAAGAAGCTGGGTGCGTAGCGCCGTTATCCGGTCAGCCTTCCTAACCTCTGTCACCAGCCTTCGTATGGCTGCCGAACATATGCTTAGCGCAGCTCGTCAGCTTTCCGAATCAACTTCTTCCCTTTACCGATCTGGTGAGTATTGGTGCTCTCGGCTCGAGGAACAGCACACTATGGCTGTCAATTCTATGAAAGAGGGAGTTGAGGTGCGTAACGAGAAGTACCTCATCCACGCTTTTGACGGGGTTACAGGAGGTCATCAAACGCATTCAGACCATCCAAGCGACTGAGGGCTCTGATTCTGCTCAAGAGCAGCTCTCCGTGGCTCTGACGGGGGTCACGACACGCGTTGACGATCAAAGTCGCGTCTTAGCTCACATTGTGGGACGCCTCATCGCGATTGCGGTCAGTCATACGCCATCAAAGCAGCGCCGCCTTGGCTTACATGTAGTCAGCCCGACTTAGAACGGAAGGCCGTCGATTCCAAGGCCGCTACTCACAATAGCAAGTCTGCTTTGTGGTGGTGGAGCATGATCTTTGGTTTTGTCCTCATAGCTATCGCGATGGCAGCATCGTTCACTACCCGCCTCTTCGTCTTTGAACCTGTGGTGTCCGATTGGATTCGCACAACCAACGTCCGCCAGATTGATTTGAACACTCAAAACACCGATCGTAGCCTTGCCGGGGTCTCCATGCCTGCCCAGGGACGTGTTCGTGGCCCGTGGTTCAAGAAGTAGCTAGAAGCTCCGAGCCCATACCGTAGTATTTAGGATAAATTCACTGGATATAACGACGAGAGGTGATTGCTTTTTAAGTGGATATAACCAGGCTCGTGGTTATAACCACAGGTTTAGGCTAAGGTGTCGTGCAGCCAAAAGAAAGATTTCTGGGGCTTTCCCGCAGGGTCCATAGCATACGACTCGAGAAAAATATTGGTCAACTATATCGGGTATTTAGCTCAGTCTGCCAATGTACTGGATAAATATTGTTCTTGGGAGGTCAGCTGTTCGATTCCCACGGAAACTTTTATTTCAGCGGGGAAACCTTAGCCTAATGTTGTGGATATAATAACCACTGCCCAATATAACCACTGGGCAGTGGTTATATCCACGAATAAAGTAATCCGTTAAAACTGGTCATATCCAGGACGGTAGCCTAAACCCTAATGGCAGGGTTGAAGCTCAAACCCCGGAATTTGATTTGATTTACACATCTTGTGCGCCGTCAGTACTTTGTTATATATTATGGAAACGTCGAGACCATGATCCGATTGCCACCACCAAATCAACTACTTTGAAAGTCTCTTTCTCTTTGCCCCAAGCATCTTTGCTCTCTGCTTCCATCTAGTCTCCACATGCCACCGGCGCAAGTCCATTCCGCACCCACCACAGCACCTGTTCTGACCCGATCTTAGACTCCTCTTCTCTACGTATCAAGCAGGTGTTTCTTTTGAGTTTTCTAGAGTGAATACTCTCATTCCCGGACTTTCTATTCCTGGAAAGATTGTCTTGGCGTCGCTGACACCGTCCCTATGTACGCCCAACCAATGCTGAGGTCGACTAACAGTAATCCTGCGCAGCAGTGCTAATGATAGGCGTTATCGGGGACGCGGTACCTTTACTTGTGAGCTCAACTTGGGACGACTTTGAGCCACAAGTCGACGGCGTCAGTCAGACAAGTCAGAACCAAGCAAAAAAAAACTGACCCAACATCACACTAGACTTCTCACAGCATCCTTTACGAATTCATGGCCTGCAATTCTGAGCAAACAATGCAACCGGTCGCAGGACTTGACGTCGCCGCTCTCAAGCTTCGAATAGTAATAGAAGATCACGCAGCCTTCTGGGCATTTGCATACCTCATGATCAGACCGCCCACCAGCTCTCTGCGCGAGGCGAAGAAGGACCTCGAAGGAAATCAAGACGTCGTCTTGAAAATACTTGAATATTTCAAATCTGACCAAGGACCGGAGTACATTCAGGGGATTCCTGAGCTAGGGCATGTAGACGCGCATGTAGACGCGCCACCAAATTATACCGGTCAGTTTCAAGTTACTTGCTTCGAACTGTGGTCACAATGCTGCACAGATTAATGCGTTTGATTATCTTGAATCATAAGCACGACATCAACGTATGCGTTTATTTACTGAAAGGAATGTGCGTAGATAATCTAGTGAGCTAGTCAAGTGTTGGGCCAGTATTCGTCCGTATCCGCCCGGTCAGCCGCAGCTTGGCGGATAACGGCTGGGTTCTCGAGTAGAGACACTGGTAGGTTTGCGGGGAGCTGAGGGCGGAGCTTGAACATCTCGACACTGTCGCAAGCACTTAATACCATTGGATCATATAAATCTCTGGGTAGATTCTCCACAGGAGGACAAGACGAGTTTCGGGCGTCCTTCGACCGAACTCGCACATGTCTAGGTGCTCCCAGAGTTGATCCATACACCGACTTGGCCGGTTTGTAAAGTCGATCTAGAAGTTTAAGCAAGGCCACGAATAGAACACTTCTCCAAGCCTTGCGAACGACCAATCGGGACCTCCGTGCCTTACGTGGTCTGGTCGTGCGATCGTCGTTGTCACCGTCCGCATCAGAATCGTCAGAGCTCATACACAGAGGCGACAATCGTTCAAGGATTTCATGAAGCAAGCCAAATAGCTCTCCCGTTTCACCTGAGAAATCGGAAGAAAGACGCAGGGCAGTTTTTCGGCGTCGGATGAGCAACTGTTGGAGTTCTAGATGAATTTAAAGATAAGAATGATACAGCAATCCTTACGTGGCGCCTCCGGGATTCACGTCTGGAGTCCTGTGTAATCAAGTCGGGATCTTTGTTTCGCTCGACGGTTTCCACCTGATAGGCCTTCCAGAGCGAGTAGAGAGTGCACATGAACCAATTCTGGACGAAATTTTCATCGTAGAGCAGATCATCACGATCTTCCCTCAAATTGCGAGCAAAAAGCACAGCAACTTCCTTATTCCATTTAGCGGTAAGATCCTCCCATTGGATAACCAGGGGGTCAAGAGCCGAGGACTGAGGAGGCAGGTTGCGGATCATGGGATCGGCGGGGCGTCGAATAACATCAAATATGCCGGAAGCGGTCTTGATTGAAAGTGAGCTGAACACGCGAGACCGGATGATAGCCTGCAGGGATAGTTCAAATCTGGCCTAGAAAAGGCGATGTCTGCCTGCCTTGGATGTAGCGTATTGCTTGTCCTTGTACAGCCCGATAATTGCTTCGATGGACAAGCGCGCCTTGGTGTTGTGAGCCCCAAAATCGTGCTGATCCCATTCGTGCACAGAGGTTGACCGGTTTTGATCAAAAAGATCCCCAAGCATAGCCTCTTCATTGCCCTCGTACCCTTCCTCATCCTGGTCAATATTGTTGTCGCGCATGGTCACGTCTGGGTTTGGAGAAGGGTTCGATTGACCAGGTGTCGGCTGCGCGGAAAGTTGGGGTTGAGCGTCGATGCCAGTGCTTTGAAAGACAAGCGCCTCCAGGTCGTCGACAAAGCCGCGGTGACCGGAAAAATGCTTCTCCCAAGCATCTTCGCTCCTCTGCCAGTCATGCCACATCTGCTCAGTGGCGTGTTCAAGGTCGCTGACGTTAGCACTCAGATCGGCGTATGACTGCTCGAGAGATTCGAGCCCGATGCACAATTCGGTCTTGCGGGAAGACTAAGCAAGTGAGTGTGTAGTCTTTGAACCTTTCGCAAACTGCGAATTACCTGCCATTGCAAATGAGATTGCAGGTCAACGAGCTAAGGGTCCTCGCGTCAAATGATTGCATAGCAAACGACCATCAAGTACCTGGGATTTTAGACTGCGTATGATATCCCCCTAATGAGGACTGTCGCTCAACAAGATTTCATTTGCAAAAGGATCGGTCTAAGCACCTTTGTCGCACGGATTCGTACATCGGTATCGCTTTGATCGAGAGCGGCAACTCTTCGCTGGCACTCAGCCTCGGTTAGCTGGGGCCCTCAGGTGAGCAGATATCGTGCTTGCCCAGATGCGGTTCTTACGTCTTCGGGGTAGTCGTCCTGTGCCATCAAGTACGACCGGGAGTTCGCAGGTTGTTCGAAGATGATGATGAATCTCGTGATGAAGATGACCGGTGAGAGATTTTCCCAGGCGACTCCTCGACGCCGCGTGCACTGGAGCAAAGGCTTTGTACTTTTTAGCTGAACTGCGCTGGATCAGGGGACACGACAGCAAACTTCTACCCTACTACTCTGAGTCGGGCTACATGAATTAAGCGCGGGACCCGCTGGGGTTCGCTGGGCCTCCGCTGGGCCAGGTCACCGCCTCCGCATATGAAACTGGGCCCACCGCATGTCCAGCCGGGACCTCCGCCCACGTCTGAATGTTGGTTTAGGACCTCCGGAGGGCATGTCACACACTGCCGCCGGCTCTATGAGACCTCCGCCGTCTTTCGCAGCGTCCACTGTTGCATTAGATCAAGCATGCTACTACCGTTCTCGCGGATTCGACCATATGTGTGTTCATGTCGGTATTACGCATCCTAACGGTCGTTCAACTCCACAACGATCCAATGACCTACTTACACAGCATGTCCCCATCCCGCAGGCCTCGGTCAACCAGCTACCAGAGCAGATGGGGGTTCACCACCTGGAACTCGCCTGAAAAGACAAGACGCGTGTAAATGTTGCTCGTGTAAGGCTCGAAGGAGGCGTTGTTTCTCGGAATTTGGCTGGTTGACGTAGTCGGCATCGGTACAGTCAGCAGCGAATTCTGCAGCCCGTGCTTGTGAATTTTCGCCTTGAGCCCCGCCCAGTCCCACAGCGATGAAGGCGTCGCACCCCACATTTCATAATGCAGCTTGACGTTAGATGCAAGGCTGCCCTCATACGTCGCGCATGGTCCATCTCGTTCCGCCAACTCGCAGCTGGCATCCAGAGCGCCGGGGTGGATGGTTTCGAAGATCTGCAGATGGAGCACTTTCGGCCGAGTCGAATGGCATCCGGAGTAGAACAAACGCATTCGCCAATCCTTGCACATCGACACTGATCGGTCGGTGGCGCATATTCGACTAGCGAGTTTCGAGAATAGAGTGGTAGTTGATGTCGACGATCCGGTTCAGGTCAGATGCAGCCACATTGTATATATCACGCAGTCGGGAGGTCGTATCGCCATTCGAGATGAAGCTGGACGGCGCAATCGATACAAGGTTACAGACGGACGCCTCATCCGCAGCAGAACATATGATGATCTCCGTGCGCAGATCCGACGACTTGATCGTACCACCCAGATCCTTCTGATTCGGCTTGGCCGGGGGGACGATCAGTCATTGATCAATCCATTAGACGGGAGCAACGCACAGTTGGCATGGTTTTTGTACACCATAAACTGACTGCCCGTCTCGACATTGCGCCTTCAGAATCGCGTACTCAAGTTTCTGGGCAGGGATGGTCTTCCTGGCCCGCCCGTCGCGCTCATCTCTCATCCACAGCCTCGAATTCCTCCCTGTGCGCCTCATGCAGGCCAGGAGCCTCGTTCAGGCAAAACAGCGACCGTTCCCCATTCTCCTCCACGCGCTTCATAAACAAATTCGGGATCCACAGTGCCAGAAATAGCTCGGGGACACGCATCTGCTGACTGCCGTGGTTTTTGCGCAAGTCGATGAACGCAAAGATGTCGGCGTGCCATGGCTCCAAATAGATCGCGAATGCACCGTGGCGCTTTGTTCCCACCTCACGATGCCATTAGAATAGCCGTTGGTACCAGCAATGCTAGAGCTGCGGGAGGGCGGAAAGTAGGAGCGGGAGAGCGGTCGGTAATTGCGGCGGAGTTGACGGCAGCAGTCTTTGCATACATTTCGCACCCTCGAGCGCCATGTCATGGTTCCCGTGAGCGATGATCAGGTTGGCGATGATGTTTCGGTCGCGCATGGAAATGTGGCATAGTCTTGACATTCAACTCTTTGGCGGGGACGACCCTTTTGCAAAAAACGCGTGGCTGAGGACGATTTAATAAATCCAACGCGATAGATACGAGTGCACTCACGCTGACACGCGCTCCGGGGACCCACTTGCCACAACATTCTCCACTAACTTTCTTGTCGCAGCACTGGGCCAGAGGCCATGGGTGATGCCGGCAGAGCGCGACGTTATGGCGTGCGCGGGACTGTTGTGCGTGCTGCGTTGTGCACGGAAAGCCGAATCGCGATGCACACGTGCCTCAATGCTCTTGCAGCTGACAGTCTTGCACCACAGGGATGGAGGGAGCTGCTACCGGCGCGTTGCGGAGCAGTGCCGGCGCTGGCGGCGAGTGATGACCTTGAGGGTGGCGGTTCTAAAGAGCAGAGGAGACCAAGTATGAGGTAGACGAGCACAGCACAGTTTGCCCGAGTCCCAAGGTCGGGTCTGGAGGGACCTGGCGGCTTATGTGCAGACAGCCTCAGCGGTACGAAGCCAGTGCGAGTCACGTGTATCTCGTCTCGACTCGAAAGATAAGCTTATCAGCGGCAGGACTCGAATATCTTATGAAGCCCAAGTTGACGACTAAACATCGATAAGAAAAAATACCCTAGCGTTAGCTATACTTTTATAATTCAAAGTAGACTACAACACCATCGCCGATATTACAGCGGTCATCACAAGAATTACACCAGCAACTCCACAAGATGCATATAAATAAAAACGTAAAGACTTCTTCAGGTCAGCAATGTCTGCCAGCTGCTGCTTCAGCACTTGAGCTTCGAGAGGTCCAGGTCCGCCCTTCGGTTCCTTTATCTGCGCAGACGCACTGGCAGCAGTCCTCTATGCCAGTCATCAGTAAGTTGCTTAGACAGATTGGACCAAGATTCCCTACGGTATGTTTCCAGATACAGATCCCAACACTGTTTGCGCTCGCAACAAGGAAGCTGCCGTGTGCGTCGGGCTCAGTACACTGGCAAAGGAGAAGTCACTATATATCGCCGCCCGAACATGCAACCCATACCGCCAACGCCTGGACTGTTTGACAATCTAGCACGAGGTCAACAAGGACCAGACATCATTGAGAGATGAAATGCACCGGGGTGTTCCAGGCTGGGGAGACGCTTGGTCGGCAAGTTGAAGAGATGTATTAACCCCGCATCCCCGCCGCACAGGAGAAAATCGCCGTGCCCCGATAGGAGCGCAGGCTTTGGCGACCAACTGCTGTCAGAAACCTGCAGCGAGACCTTGGGCTTGAGGGACGCGACCCCATCGAATACTTCGTAGTTGCCAGTTGTAAGACAGTCCTTCGCTGTTGAGATTGATCCTCTGGGACAGTGAGTTACATTCAGGCAAAACTGAAGACTAACATGAGAAATCCAAGAGTGGAGAGCGGCTGAAGGTTGTTCAGTGTGGACAAATCAAGAACTTCCCTGGCAATTCAATGAGAGGAATGGGGGGACATTGACAACGGAGCAAACATTGCCCCCGACCGATAGTGCACAAGAAGTGTTCTGGGATTGGCAGTCGAGAAGGAGAAATGACAAGGTATGTCTGTTTTCATCTCATGGGTAGCCATGTGGGATAGAACGTCTAGGAGCGCACCCAGTTGTAAAACAAGCTCCAACGTAAAGAAGAATGACCCACTATCAGCCCAGCGGTACGCCTTGATGGATCCCTTGAACGATCCAACAACAAGGGTCGAACTCAAGACGTCGAAAGCTTGGAGTTCAATGGGATCGTCTGCCGCTGGAAAGAGTTTTTCTACCCGCAGAGAAGAAGATTGCAGGATCATCTACCGGATGGATGAGCGCTGACTTTGAAAGATAGTAAATCTTATACCTGATTATCCAACTGGTAGAGAGCGATAAGCCCAGCACCGGTGCCTATACACAACCACGGTTCCGAAAAGCCCGCACTACCTGGCAAGAATAACAAGTCTGTAACGCATCCCCAGCGAACGTCGTAAATTGATTCTTGGTAGGAAGTCCCTGCCTCGACGTCCCAGAAATGGACAGAGCTGTCTTCGCCTGCGTGAGTGATGCTAGGCGCGAGTGGCTCAAAGAACAAAGGCGCTCACCCCCCACGAGGAGTACTCGTCCATTAGGGCAAAAGGCCAGCGCATTGGGCGCATCACTTCCTGTTGTCTGTACGGTGGTTTTGTGTTTGAATACGTGAGCCATAAAGTTGGGAGCAAGTAGTAAACACTGATAAGTACTTTCAGATCTCCGGTAAAACGTTCCGATCAAACGAAGCGGTGGCTCCTGCGGTGCATGATTTCATAATTGATTGATCAGCCAGCGATCGCGAGTCGGCAAGGTATGTACGTAGAGACTCTAGAGAGCGTTGCACCGTACACGCGACGGATGCGCGCTGCGTCCGATCCGATCCGACTCGTCACGTGCCCGAGACTCTTTTGGAAGCACGCTCCTTTCATCTTGCCTTTGGGTCTGTGCGACTCGAAAAATGACGCTACTTCCCAGCGTCTTTGTTCTTGCTGCATGTGCGTCCCTCCTTACTCCCCGCACTATCAATTCTTGCATTATGACCAATAACCGTGCCTTCTTGCCCCATAGCTCTCAGGTGCCCTCAATCCGTTTCCTCTTCGCGTTTGTTTCATTCATGGGGCTAGACCATCGATCGTCTTATCCCTGCAAGACTGTACTGCACAAGACGCAGAGGACCCACACCAGTGAATGTTCTAGTTCGATCTTCACGCGTGAACGGCCCCCGCATGCCACGTTATGCCATGCCCGAAGGCCTTTTTGCCGACCTGCACATACAGCCTCACGTACATGACCTATCGGTCTTGATCACTCGTCGAAGCATCCAAACCAAGTTCCGCGTCTACTTCCGGCGTCACTGCCGCCTCCCCAGGAACGCAACTAGGCAGGGGATCAGAGGGGAGGTTCTCTTTATGCGTGCAGGCAAGCAATGCAAAGACGCTGTAGTTGGGCTACGCGCTGGTGACCCTTTACTTATTACTTCCATTCTCAAGCAGTGCGTCCGTTCTTTTCTCTCCGGTGTTTGTCCGTTGAACCGTTGCTCTAGGATTGTGCAAGACATTATCAATTTCCAAGTCAATAATAGGAAGCTCCCATCTCTCATCGAACTGCAATACCAAGCCTAATCCCATCTCTGTTTGAATCTCTGCCTAGACTAGATTGCTGTTGTAATACTTGTGCTCATACTTTTCAAAATGTCTTTCGTCTTTGTTCGAAAACCATGCATCACTAAGGAGAATGTGCGAGAAAACGTGTCAAAGTGAGCATGCAGCGCCTCTTCAATATACACTCATTTCTACATCCTCATCTTCATCCTCCTCGCGGTCGTCTCCTGCTCCGACAAAGCATGAGTCGGTGGCAAGGGACTGAGATGCATTCAGCAACATCGCCAGTTTTTCCATGTCGTACATTCCTCGCACCTTTCGTAATGGAACCACAATCATGCCTTCACAAAACGATCCGTCGACAGTTACCAGTCCTTTCATGTCGCAACTTGCAAAATGTCCTTCGATCTGCTCAAGAGTGAGCACGACACCCTTATCGTCAGCTTCTAGGTCACGGCTCCAGATCTTGCCGCCGAAGTCTGGATACTTCAAGAATGGATCTTGAAGCAGGCAAACTGGCCGATACGGACGACACACAACATACACCGGCTCGGCTCCAACTAAAGACTGGATGATGTGCTCAATGGCCAGGGGTTGACGTGTACCACCCGTTGTATAGTATACCGAGCTGTTACCACGGTGCTTGTGTCGGGTCGAGTACGAAAGGCCCTTGTACTTGACGTTGCTGAACGTCCGGTTCGCGAGAGGAAGTGTGATTTTGACCGATGGAAAGCGGACGCGCAATCTTTGAGTGTGACGGGATGTTTGGAGCCCCCTGACTTCGTGGCGGAAACCCCACGAAAGATTTGGTCGAATCTTAACTTCAGTTCGTTTGCAACGGGAAACACGGCACTACTCTCCAATCGATAGACGTTGGCCATCTGTTGATACCGTCTTCCTATGGTGATTTCATATTCGCCTGCAAACTAGTGAGTAAACTAACATGACATCAAAAGTGGTCGCACCAGGTTTGTAGTTGGTCTTGATCCTAAGCATCTTGCCATTCATTCGTTCGAACGGATACGCCCACCATCCATGCACGGGTCCAAACAAACGCAAGAAATGGGGGATGTGTAGAGCAAGATGGTGGTTGGGATGAGCCGTGTACTCGGGGAAACAAGCGTGGAGTGCGGTTCGATACTTGAGCAGATGATTTTGTACTTTTGCGTCGTTTCCTTGTATCATTTTTCGCGAAGAAGCCAGATCCACGGCAGCAATTAAATGCATGGTCATGTCCAAGAGCCCCTGACGTTGCAACGTCGAATCGGACCATAGTCGTATGAGAGTTACCGGGATATACACCATAGCCAATGCTCGCCATTGATCTGCCTTCAGCTTCCCGTGTTGTGCGGATCCATAGTTGCGAGGCACTGATGACACCCAAGACGGTGTGTGCATGGCAGCGATGTCTGCCCAAAGTGCTTTCATCTCTCCTTTGGTGATGACATGGCCGATTTCGAGTCGACCATCATCCCTACTGGGCACAGTCTCTACCTGCTTGCGGCGCTGCGGGGCTTCAGCAATGGTATATGAACAACGAGTTACTGCACTCACCCAGCTGATGAGCTCGTCAACAAGTTTCGCTTTTGAAAGAGCTTTCTTTGACGATTGATGTAGAGAGTTAAGTAAGGCAGGTACTTCACGCTCTGTAGGACAGCCTAGACCTCGGGCCACATGCACAAGCGCAGACTTTGATAAGTTAATCAACTTTCTATGCAGCTCGGCTTCGTCGTCATCGTATTCCAGCTCGGCATTCGAGATCGTCTCAAGAAAACGAATCGCATCCTGTACTTGGCCTGCGTCCTTCTCAGAGATCAGGAAGTCGGTGGGACTGAGAGATATCGATAGTCTGTGCACGGCGGGGCCATCGTTGGCTTTTTCCGAGAACCCGAGGACTCTACGGAAAGTCTCGTGAAGGAGACCGAGGAAAAGATTGTGCATAGGGTCGACCACAATCATCTTCGTCGGCTCGAAGTATGGCAATCGGAGGAACTCCGAAGTGCGGACCCCGCTACTATTGAAACAGGCCTGCGCCTGAGTGGGATGAGCCGCGTTCCGATACGCCTGGGCCGCAGCTTGCCATTCTCCGTCCATCCTCAAAGGCCAGTCGTCAACTCGGATGTCATTGTTACCCACTCCACGACCAGTGTATTGGTTGGCGGCCTTGTCTCCCTGCGCTGCCTTGCGCTCTTCAACAGTATCACGGGTGCACTTGCAGACAGTACAGAAATGCGTGTGCGACGCACTCGCAAACCCCGAAATCTTTCGAGCTGCCGGAAGATCACAAACAAAAGCGACAATCGCGCATCGTACGAGCCGGCCCAACGCATATTCGCATGTCTTCGTGAATCGTACGCCGCAGTGCCAGAGTCTGACAAAACAGTCGACGAGTGGTGCGAAGTACGAATTGGTCGCATCCAGCGGCGGTTCGTTGGGCCCTGGAATGATCCCACAGAGAAACATGTTTTCCGTCCGGTACCGCTCTTCGATGGGCAGATTGAGACAGACGAGGGAAAAGGCGCCGACGGATATCTTCTTCCCGGACTGTCTCGCGCCCAGTGGATTGAAAAAGTCGAAGTTAAGTGAGAATATATAACGTCCTTCCCCATCCTCTGACGGAACACTGAAGTGATGTGCCTTGTCAGGGCCCTTGAAGTTTCGGACAAAGGAGCCGTCCAGAACGTCCGTGAGGTGACGGGTTCCGCGTTCAGGCGATCCCAGCTTTTGTCCATTTTCTTCTCGTTGCCGGGATGAGCGAGGAAGCGAGCCAACCAGTCGACGAAGTGGAATTCGATGAAGGGTCGGATAGGTACCGTGGTTTCACGACCGTAGGCATGTCGTGGTTGCAGCAAGGGCGTGTTGCATTTGCGACCTTGCCTGTCCCGTTTCACACAAATCGAAGGATATATCATTCCCGGGCCCTCGCCCTCCGGTCGATGTGTATGATGGCATGCAGGGCAAGATGCGTGAATGGTATATGCCGTGTCGAGATTGAAGTGTTCCTGCATGGTTGGGACGTCCCTGAACTCTTGTAGAGCAGGGGAATTGGAAGTTCCAAGCCCACGGCGAACAATATCTTGGGTCGACATCATGACCCAAAGGCAACCTCGACGAGAGATGTGCAAAAGTGTGGAGCAAACAACAATCAAATAGAAGATCATCTGCATCCACACTGCGACATCGCGGAAGAGCAGTTCGTGATAATGGCCTGAGTATGTTGAGATTACATGAAGAAGAACCTCCAGTGACGGCAGCCACACACCAGTTTCAAAAGTGATGTCTTCAAGGTCATTACGACTCGGCTTGATGCTTGCGGAGGCATTCTCCCAGGATTGCTTGACGGTCATGGCGTCATTCCATATCTCATCGAGCTTGAGCATTGCTTGATGAATCAGCGATTGCGCCGCCGCCTCCTTGTGGGCATTGGAGGCTACCTGGAAACGGGCCTGAAGCTGGCGTACTTTGGCGAGGTGGCGATTGATCCGTCCGATACCGACTTCCAGCGCTGCCAGGTTCAGGCCGGTTGAGGAGGACACAGCGCATCCATTTCAATTCGTAGTTCTGCCACTTGTTCTGCCTCTAATGAGATTGAAGCCACCGCCCTGTACTTGTGCTGAACATGTGTGGAAAAGCCTTCGACCCGTATTGGTGGAGGCAAGGCACCGCCGATCGCAGCCGTCGCCCCAATTCTCGCTTGCTCTCGTTCATGAACTATGGCGGCAGCAGCGAGAACGCGGGACTCGCTCAGCACATTCTCTGTCCGAGTCGGCAAGTTGGAAGGAAGATTCGTCAAATTAGGTGCAGCAGTCTGACGTCGATGTTCGGCTAAGGACCTCGCCGTTCGAAAACCACGCGGAGCCCCTGACGCGCGGCAACTGGCACAATCGCAGGTAAATTTGTCTTTCAACTTTCGTGCTTGGGATGTCGCAGGATCCGGAAGTGGCGGCGGAGGTGGCTCCATGGCGCATATACAGGGTTTTAGAGTGAAGTGTGTTGAGATAGTCGAGTCGAGAGAGAGGCTACGATTATGGGGCAAGCCAAGGATGTGTGGTGGCTAATACCGAACTGAATTGACCAATTATAAGTGGCTCGGAAGTTGGAACTCCCGACTCCAGTCGATAAGAAATCAATCAAAGACACACAGACGCACGCGTCGATGGTCACGCGCGTTCTCATTCCAATCTCTTCTCCCTCATGTCCACGCCTCCCGGTCAAACGATTCAGACTCCTGCGGACGCCACACATGATGCCATGACCAATTACTACACCATTCAAATAAAGAAGTTGGAGAGTGAGGAGACCTCACTACGAACAGTGAAACGCAGTACTTTCTACCATTCATGGTACTGACCTGTTTCAGAATATCGCTGCAAGCGCCGCAAAATTGAAAGACTTGGAGGAAAAGGTATGCGCAAGTAACATGTGCATACCTGCGCTAACAACCCTCTAGATCCATGCCTTCGAAAATGCTCCCTCACCAGAGCTGCAGCTCCAGGCTATTCGTGAAAACGTCCATAATTTGGTGCGTCCGTGGGCCACTGCTTAGGTCGGGTTCGGTTGATGGTCCCAGGATCAACAATACGTCCAACAAAAGCGCCAGATGTCAGCTCTCCAAGCTGAACAACTCCAGTTGGAACAACGATTACATACGGCAAGGAGGTTTGACTCGGACAAGCGCACACGCTCATCTTGTTTTAGGACGATCGTCTTGTGGGTCTCTCAGCCAACACAACATGTCTGGAACAGGCTAGGCTCAGTTCCATTTGCCCTAGAGTTCTTCTGAACTCCAGGTAGTTCTCTGCGCATGAGACGACGCTTACAGACTGGATTTCTGAATTGAAGACCAAAGTGGGTGATCTCGTCTTGGATCATTTGGTTGGCTAACTTTCGTTATGAGGTGAATGGAGAATTGGAAACCCTGCAAATTGCGCATCGAGCCCTTGTCGAGAGATATAGCTATAACTCGACAGAACTGAGCGCTGCCGAAAACGACCTCTGCAGTGCCCATGATGAAATCGACCATCTCCGAAAAGTCATCAATGAAGCCCGATTTTTAAAGGCAGAGTATGAGCGAGCCCAGGAACTGGCTCAGTCTATGGCTGACAACGACACAAACAAGAGCAAGGCTCTGCACAGCATGGTTTTGGAGCTAGAGTCACGGAGCAGTGAGAATGACAAAGTGAGTGTTGTAACGCCATCAGCTACATCTCTAAGCTTTCTGCTCAAGGAAATCCCTCGGACTGCATCTGATTTAGCGCAGGTAGATATAAGAAGCGAAGAAAATTCATTTGCTACCGCTAAGATGACCACGGTTTGTGCTTTCTCCAGCGATTGCGTTGTCCTCTGATCTCATACCATTAGGGGTCTGCTCCGAGCACACACAGTTCAGAACGAACCCCCACAATTAATGATGAAGTGGAACAGACAACAATTGCGAAGATGCTTGTCCCTCGTCCTGCCTGGCAAAGCTCGACAACTAACAGCTCGATGCTTGTTCTGCCTCCCTTTCCTCTACCACCCCCCCCAGCAAATGCTACACACCAGGCAGTGACTCGTCGCGGAAGTTCTCGACGTGTGCCGATTCCACCGCCACAGCCCTTACATCGACAGGTTAAAGACATAGGGGTCCTTCAAAAAGTTGTAAACACCTGTTGCTTAGCCCTTGTCCCCTTCCTGATCTCCTTGATAGATTTCGGCTATGAATCAAGCATTAACATCTCGGTTCCAAGCCTCTGCGCTTGTGCCCTCCCAGGTACCCACCTTGGCAGCTTTTGGCTTCACAAAATCATTGCCAGTAACTCCGACGCCACTTCCGCCGGTGGGGGACAACCCAGATGCTCGCTTCTCATTCATCCCATCGAGTGAGACGGGTGAACAACCCTCTCCGGGCTTGTAAATATACCTATAATATGTTGACAGATCACTAGGCAAATATCATGTACTCCAAGTATTTCAATTACCCGTGCACATCCAGTTCTTTCGCATGATACCGTAACACGTGCTTGTGATCCGAGATCAGACACGTGACAAGCTGCACGTCATAGAATCTCGACACCAAGCTGCTTGCTACGTCATCGAATCTCAACACTAGTGACGAGGAATTCCAAACGCGCGGCGTCACAACTGGTTACATCTGCTCTAGTGTAGCTATATACACCGTGCGAACTAACTCTCACTCCGACTGAATGCAAAGGGCCCAAGGTGCATATTGAAAGGCACGTGCACCGCGGTTCGGGGTCCATCATCTGCCGACGCAGTCGGCGCTTTCTAGTTTATGTAAATACTGTACGCCGAATTCAAATCCATCGCGACTCATTCAGTCACGCGTCCATCAATCACCGTCCCGTGCTTTCACATCAGCGCGAGTCGGGGATTGTTTGGCCTGCCGCTTCCTTTTCGCTCACTTCTACCTGCACGAGCGGCTTACTAGCTAACAGTGAGCTACTCATACGAGGTAACTCTGCTGCCCCTCGTTTTAATCGAGAAGTGACCTTTAGAAGTATACAAAGATGGGCACTCCAGTTCCTACTAACGACTGCATGCAATTCCCAAATGTGGACTTCAAGGACATGCCCGACAAAGGGTCCACTGGGTTACAATGAGGACGCGACCGTTTGAATCGGCCGCTGTGCTACGTGGCAGACAGGCGCTTTGAGGAGACATCGGAGCTCATTCGCCCCCAAGTCGTGCGGTCCACCGGAATAGTGAAGGACGGTCCGGAGTGGGCCTACGACCGCACGTTCTTCGACCCCAAGTATCGTTGGCGCCTCTGCATCCCCGTCGCAACCGACACTACCGACCTGCCGTGGTACCCTCGTCACCCAGAAGAGGGAGAGCTGAGAGATCGGCCAGATGCCTGCGGGATGGGTTACGAGATCGCAAGCTCGTTGCGGAAGCAGATGTGCGCCGATCTGACCGATGCCGAGCAATGCGTGCAGGCCATGCGACACGCAGATCCCTCCATGAGAGGGCAGATTTACCCGGCATCCAGGCTGGTCCCAGACGACTCGACCAGACCTGCGCAACATTCACGACGCAAAGAAGACCGTTATGGTCTGGAGACGGGCTACGCTCGACGCCCTCGGTACTATAAACTGGTTCCGGCTGCATTGGAGCGAGTGGACAAGCGGAAGCGGGATCGACAAGAGGGTGATCGACAAGTGTTGGCGTTCGGTCTAGAAAAGTGAAGGAAAGGAGCCTTCCTCGTCCCCGCGAGAGACGTGGTGTACTCGAACTTCCCGTTTTGGATCGGAACGATATTCCCATTGGTTACGCATGTCGAAGGCCGAAGAAGATCTCCCGCGGCTGGTTCAGCTTCACCACGGCTGCTAGCTACGGTGGACAGATATCTGCCTCAAACCCCCGGAACTTGTGCCCTGCGCATCCCCCGGCATCGCGGCAAGGACGTCTTGTACGAGCGGCTCACCCGTTGGGATCGCTGGTTCGAACCTGTGAGCGGACGGCGCGACCACGCTATCTCCTTCCGCGTCCCAACGGAAAAACGTCTATGTGGACTTCATAGGATGGTTTCCGTCGAGACGTCCGGATAAAAGTCGGAAGCGCACGTGTGAGGGCTTTGGGCGACGCGAGGATCACCTTCGGTGTACCTGGGGTGGAAGACCGCGCACGACCGCCACTCAGCCAGTCGACGGCGACTCGAAGACTCAAGCGATTCGGACGACGAAGAAGGACCCTGGTTGCTGAATCGGCCATTCCTCCGTGAACATTACGGAGCTATCCTCGCTCCTGGGTTGGGTCAAATCGTGGATCCGTTAACCGGGCGGCTCGCGCCACGAAGGACAATACTGCGGAGCTTTCCCGCGCTCGCTGGAAAGAGGAGCTTGAGCAAATGCCTGGCCGCCCCGCTTCGGAGCACGTCGATCTACAGGAAGGCGGTCGGGACGTGGAGGTTTACATCAATGGCCTATCGCGCTCTGGCCAGGAAACACCGAGCCCTCCCACACTCGGCTCGGCCGAATCCGCAAGGATTTCCTCTTAAGCCAAGAGAAAGCCCGAGAAGAGCCCGCGTTCATCCCTGAGGACAGGTCCTCGTACAAGCAACGACGTGCAGTCGCAGAGTCTGCCCGCGACGCTCCCCAGTCCGCATGCAACGAGACCGACTGCGTGAAGCTCCCCGAGCTCCCTGGCAGACGGCTGAGCGCAAGAGGAGCAGGTCCGAGTCGACGTGAGACCGGTACAACAAAGGATGGGCCGCGGACCAGCGGGATGGGGCCGTTTCGCTACGCAAGTAGTAGTCGAGTCTTACTCTCGACGGTTCTCGTATTCTGGCAATGAGCGAGAAATTTGTGTGACATATGAATGATACCTGAATGTAAATAATCTCGTACACAAACGTATTGTATTCTACCAGCTTGTATAT